TACCCCCCCCCCTTTTTTTTTTTTTTTTTTGAGACTGAGTCTCACTCTGTCACCCAGGCTGGAATGCAGTGGCATGATCTCAGCTCACTGCAACCTCCACCTCCTGGGTTCAGGCGATTCTTCTGCCTCAGCCACCCAAGTAGCTGGGACTACAGGATGCATACCACCATGGCCGGCTAATTTTTTTTGTATTTTAGTAGGGACAGGGTTTCACCATCTTGGCCAGGCTGGTCTCGAACTCCTGAGCTCGTGATCCACCTACCTAGGTCTCCCAAAGTGCTGGGATTACAGGCATGAGCCACTGCGCGCCGCCCCACCCCTTTTTATTTCTACACGTTGCCTCCCTCCCCGGACCTTAGGGCTTTCTTTAGCTTGGGGTCCTACCAAGTTCCTGGAGCCTCCACCCATACAGCCCGCAGGCTCCTGGAAGGCAGGACCCATTCTTGTTGGGTATCCAAAGCCTTTAGCAGGTAAGTCAGGTTGTGCAGAGGAGGGACCGACGGGAAGAAGTCCATGAATTCACTGTCAGTAGTGAGTGCTTGTGTCCCCGTGTTGCCCACCCCCACCATACCCATGTCCCTGTCGCGGGCCACGATCCAGCACCAGCAGTGGGTTTCCAAAGCGTGGCCCTGCTGTAGCCACCAGCAAGGAACTGCTCCAGGTCGGCCAGCCCAGAACCGGGCCTTGGAGGTCGGAAGAAGCGAGGAGGGCCTTGAGAAGGCAAGAGGGTTTGGACCGAGCCGCCCCCGCCTGGAGACTGCTGGCCCGCGCCAATGCGCAGGCGGTCGGGGGCGCAGCCCGCTAGATTCAACGGCGGCGAGATTCAGCTCCCGGCGTCCGCACGTCCGCCTCGGCTCTGGGCCGGTGCCAGGCGACTGGATCCGTGACTGCAGTTGGCAGGAGGCCGGACGGCGCGTCCCCCGGGGCTCCCAGGAAGCCGGCGCTGTCGGCCAGGCCGGGAGGGCCGTGGCGGGCGAGCGGTCTGGCGGCGGGAGGCTGGGGCCCCGCGGCGGAGGCAGGGCTGCGGCGGCTGCGGTCAGCAGAGGCCCCGCAGAGGGGCCGAGTCTCCTGCGCTAATTGGCCCTTTCCCAGCCGCCTGGGCCAGTAATTGCTGCTTCGCGGGTGGAAGGTGGGGGCGTGGCGGGGCAGACGCTGGGGCGCTGCTCCCGGAACCAGGAGCTCGGCTCAGCCCGAGGTGGGCGGCCCGGCCGGCAGGGGGCGCGTGTGCGCCCTGCGCCCGCGCAAGCGTAGAGCCCGCGGTCCTTCGTCCCTGCGATGGCGCGGGCGAGCGGGCGGGTAAAACCCGGGGGGTGGTTAGGGCGGCTAGGAGCAAGACTCAGAAGTGTCCTCAGGCTTTCACCAGGATCCAGTCTGTTCTGCGCACCGATCCACGTGGGATGGGGCCTGGCAACAGATTCAGGAGCGACTCCGGCTGGCCGTGGGAGGACCTGAGTGGGGACAGGAAGACAAGGTGGGACCTCCCACCTCCATCATCCAGCAGTGCAACCCAGGGAGGAGCTGACCGGAAGAGGAACACCTTCCTGGGTGAATGGGGAGGGTGTGGAGCCGGGGCTGTGGGAGGCAGGGACCAGCCCAGCATTCAGACTGCCGCGTGAGGAGGGGCGTCCAAGAAAAATCGTTCATGATCCTTGTTAAAGCTCGGTAAAGCAGACTTTATTCAGGACCATCGAAATAGGCATAGGGGCCGAGCCATTAGCTCACACCTGTAATTCCAGCACTTTCAGAGGCCAAGGCGGTAGAGAGGTTCTCTCACTCTGTCACCCAGGCTGGAGTGCAGTGGTGTGATCATAGCTCACTGAAGCCTCAGCCTTCTGGGCTCAAGCGATTCTCCCACCTCAGCCTCTTGAGTAGCTGGGACTAAAGGGACATGCCACCATACCTGGCTAATTTTTTTAATTAATATTTTTTGTAGGGCTGGGGTCTTGCAGTGTTGCCCAGGTTGGTCTCAAACTCTTGAGCAGTCCTCTTGCCTCAGCCTCCCAAAGTACTGGGATTACAGACATGAGCCACCACGTCAGGCCCAAAAATTAAAAAAAAAATTAGCCTAGGTGGGTGGTGCCAGCCTATGGTCCCAGCTATTCAGGAGGCTGACGTGAGAGGATTGCTTGAGCCCAGGAGTTTGAGGCTGCAGTGAGCTGTGATCGCACTACTGCACTTCAGCCTGGACAACAGAGGAGACCCTGCCTCAAAAGAAAAAAAAAAAGAAAAAGAAATAGGCGTGGGGATTGCCACAATGGGGTTTTGCAGTCAGGCAGTTGGGGAGCGAGATTGGGCTCAACTCCGAATACAGCATGGACAAGTGAGAAGTTATAGCCAAGGAGCAAGGTTGGGTCAGTGGATGGAAAATTACTAAGAGGAAACATCAGAGATAGGGGAGATCTGGCTAAGCCCATGGATAGGATTCTTGCTGCAGGCAGGCCAGGGTGACCAGACATCATCTAGGGGATAATGGAGGCTAGGGAACTTTTTTTTTTTTTTAGGCGGAGTCTTGCTCTGCCACCCAGGCTGGAGTGCAGTGGTACGATTTTAGCTCACTGCAACCTCCATCTCCCCGAGTTCAAGCGATTCTTCTGCCTCAGCCTCTCAAGTAGCTGAGTGCCCACCCCTACACCTGGCTAATTGTTATATTTTTAGTAGAATGGAGTTTCACCGTGTTGGCCAGGCTGGTCCTGAGCTCCTGAGCTCAAGTGATTCGCCCATCTTGGCCCCTCAAAGTGCTGGGATTACAGGCATGAGTCACCTCGCCCAGCCCAGGCTAAGGAACTTAATTATATTATGGAAGGTGATCAGATATGGAGGGTGGGGGGCTCTGGTTAAAGTGACTTAGCAGGAATCTTGCTAAAAAGTCAGGCCTAGCTGAAAAAGTTCAGGACAGTCTGAGTAGAGTTTGGTCAAGGATAGAATCTTTGTCAGGGGAGAAATCAGGACGAACCATCAGAATCAGGCGTGGGCTAGCTCCTGGGCTGTGCCAGCAGGCCGCAGGGGGAGTACCCAAAGACCTTCAGGTCAGGATGTCCCTTGTGGACACTGGAGTGAAATCAGGCCCAGTTGGAGCTGAGCCACTGTTGAGTTCTGCACTGGCTGCTCCAGGACCACCTTCCAGGAGCTGAACTAGCAGCCCCTACTCTGGCTCCTTACTGATGAATGGCTATTTGGTTGCCAGGGACATCCTCTGGCTGTGCTTCCTGAGACTAGAGCTGCCACATCTCCTGTGGTAGCCACCCTCCCTCAGAGATTGCCCCAGGTCTGGATGGAGGTGGCAGAGTGCCTTAGACAGGGCTGGATCCAATTCCTGCTCTGCCCTCACTAGCTCATTACCTTGGGCAAGGCTTTTTAATGTCTCAATACATCAGTTTCTTCATCTGTAAAATGGGGATAAGAAGATCCATGGTTGTTGTGAGGATTAATGTTTTCTTGAAAGGGACTTCCCTCCTCCTCCACTATCCCTTTGCTTTGGAGGTTAGATGCTGGGGTATGGGGGAGGTGTGCCTCATCCGACAGATCTATGCAGCTTCTGTTTGCCCCAGGGACTCAGGAACCTCTGAGAATAAAGGGCCTAATCCACACTAGTTTGGGACAAAAATACTGTGGGACACTATGCCAGTGTTCATAGCAGCATTATTCACAATAGCCTAAAGGTGGAAAGAACCCAAATACCCATCAATGGATGAATGGATAAACAAAATGTGGTATATACCTGCAATGGAATATTATCCAGCCTTAAAACAGAAGGAAATTCTGATACATGCTACAGCATGATGAACCTTGAAGACATCATGTTAAGTGAAATAAGCCAGACACAAAAGGACAAATACTGTATTACTCTACTTATATCAGGTACCTGGAAGAGCCAAGTTCATAGAGACAGAAAGTAAAATAGGAGTTCCCAGGGACTAGGAAGAGTGGATAACAGGGAGTCATTGTTGAATGGGTATAGAGTTTCAGTTTAAGTGATGAAAAAGTTCTAAAGATAGAATAGTGGTGATGGTTGTGCAACGATGTAGATGTACTAAATGTTATTGAACATTTAAATATAGTTAAAATGGTAAAATTTGTTATGTGTATTTTACCACCAAAAAGCTCACAATGGCCAGGCATGGTTGCTCATGCCTGTAATCCCAGCACTCTGAGAGGCTGAGATGGGCAGATCACCTGAGGTCAGGAGTTTGAGACCAGCCTGGTCAACATGGTGAAACCCCATCTCTACTAAAAATGCAAAAATTAGCTGGGCACGGTGGTGGGCAACTGCAATCCCAGCTACTCAGGAGGCTGAGGCAGAGAATTGCTTGAACTCGGGAAGCAGAGGTTGCTGTGAACCAAGATTGCGTCATTGCACTTCAGCCTGGGTGACAAGAGTAAAACTCCATCTCAAAAAAAAAAAAAAAAAAAAAAAAAAGGCACAGTGGCTCATGCCTGTATTTCCAGCACTTTAGGAGGCCGAGGTGGGCGGATCACGAGGTCAGGAGATCAAGACCAGCCTGACCAACATGGTGAAACCCCGTTTCTACTAAAAATACAAAAATTAGTTGGGCCTGGTGGCTGGTACCTGTAATCCTAGCTACTCGGAGGCTGAGGCAGGAGAATTGCTTGAATCTGGGAGGCGGAGGTTGCAGTGAGCTGAGATCGTGCCACTACACTCCAGCCTGGGTGACAGAGACTCCATCTCAAAAAAAAAAAGAAAAAAACCCCACAAAACAACAAAACAAAAACTGGGACAGGCTGAGATAAACATGGGCTGCAGGAGAGGCCAGAGGAATCTGGATGCAGCACTAAGACCTAAGCTGATGGACAAGTGAGTGTGGGGTGTGGCTGTCCTGCTGTCCTCAGGGGTGCACTTGAGACCAAGTGTTTTGTACCCCAGGCAACTTTGCAGTAGCACCCCTTGACTGAGTGTAGCATCCAGGCACAGCCCGCTAAGAAACAGGCAGCAATTCTCCCTTTCTCCCAGGGCTCAGATTGAGACAACATAGACATTGAGGTCAAATCAACACTTCTTTATTGAGACCATCCCTGTGTATAGACTTTGAAGTGGCCCTGAGGGAGATAAGTGTGGGTGGGAGAGAAGATCTCAAACTATCAAAAGTTTGCTCCATGTCATAGATAACCTGCCCAAGGCCTCCAGGCCAATGAACAGACAGGCACGAAGTTGAGCAGGATGGACGGTAAATGCCAAGCTGGGTGCAGGGACGGGGCAGTGGCAGTCTGGGTTGACCTCCCATAAGAAGGAGCTACAAGGAGACACTGAAGGGTGGGAGGATTTGAAGAAGGGGAAAAAAAGGTTGTCTGAGGCTGGAGAGGTGGGCACAGCATGGTATTGACAGGGCCTGGCCTAACCGGATGTCAACAGTGAGGTAGGGGGCATCATGGGATGTCGGGCTGGAGAGGGTGGTACAGGCCCCACATAACAGGCAAAAGCTCTTGCTCTGGCCTGGAGGCAGCAGGGAGCTCCTGCATGTTCTAAATTGGGGTGGGCAGAACTCTTGTCCCCAGGTATGTCCATGGCCAGTCTCCCCAGGGCCTGGGTGGTGGGGCAAATGCTCCTTTGTCTCCTTCCTGCATAGCCGCCCTCAGAATTGCCTCTGCTTCTCAGATCTTTGAGACCGGTACAAACTCATCCAAAAAGCCATCTTCTTCTCCTTGAGCTTCTTGCCCACACTTGTGGTAAAATCCAGCTGCAGGTACTTTTCATCCTTGTCGTAGCGTGGCCAGCAGGGCAGATTCCCATCATTGGGGTTTCTGCCCAGAAGGGAAAAAGAGAAGATTATCTCTGTTCCTCTTCATCTTGCTTCTTTCTCTCACCCTTCCCTCCTTTAATTTGCCCTTGGGAGTTGGGGTTCCGAGGGCTTTACGGAGATGATACTTAGATCTTTAAGAAAGAGTAGGAAAGTGTGTAGTGGGGTGGGCCTTCCAGGCAGAGCAAACAGTATGTCCCAGGTTGATATAAAATACCAAGGTGGCCGGTTGCGGTGGCTCACGCCTGTAATCCCAACACTTTGGGAGGCTGAGGTGGGCAGATCACAGGGTCAAGAGATCGAGACCATCTTTGCCAACATGGTGAAACCCCGTCTCTACTAAAAATACAAATATTAGCTCGAGCACCTTGCCTGTAGTCCCAGCTACTCGGGAGGCTGAGGCGGGAGAATCGCTTGAACCTGGGATGCAGAGGTTGCAGTGAGCCAAGATTGCAGCACTGCCCTACAGCCTGGGTAACAGAGCGAGACTCCATCTCAAAAAAAAAAAGTAAATAAATAATAAAAGGCCAAGGCTTTTGGAGGAAGCACAAATAAAGAGTTAGGTAAAAACAGGTTGTGTGTGAAAGGGATGGAAGTGGAAAGGAGATGACATAGGAAAGATTTTGAAAGGCCTTTCACGTAAGGCTGAGGGGCTGGGACTTTATCTTGGAGGCAGAGAAGCCATGAAGAGCTTTAAGCAGGTGAGTGACATGGTTAAATGTTATTTCAGAAAGACCCCTTAGGCTGGGTGTGGTGGCTAATGCCTATAATCCCAGCACTTTGGGAAGCTGAGGTGAGAAGATTGCTTGAGCCCGGGAGTTAGAGACAAGCCTGGGCAAAATAGCAAGACCCCATCTCTACAAAATACAAAAATTAGCCGGGCATGGTGGTGTGTGCCTGTAGTCCCAGCTACTTGGGAGGCTGAAGTGGGAGGATTGCTTGAGCCTGGGAGGTCAAGGCTGCAGTGAGCTGTGATTGCACCACTCCACTCCAGCCTAGGCAGCAGAGTGAGACCCTGTCTCAAAAAAATTTAAAAAAAGAATGGCTGGGTGTGGTGGTTCATGCCTGTCATCCCAGCACTTTGGAAGGCCAAGGTGAGCGGATTGCCTGAGATCAGGAGTTCAAGCCTCGATAACAAGGCGAAACCCTGTCTCTAACTAAAAATATAAAAAATAGCCAGGCATTGTGGCACATGCCTGTAGTTCCAGCTACTCAGGAGGCCGAGGCAGGAGAATCGCTTGAATCCAGGAGGCAGAGGTTGCAGTGAGCTGAGGTTGTGTCACTGCACTCCAGGCCAGGCAACAGAGCAAGACTCTGTCTTAAAGATAAATAATTAATTAATTTTAAAAAAATAGAAAAAGAAAGACACTTTGAGTGTCATAAGGAGGAAGGATTGAAAGGAGAGGTCAGGTGTGGTGGCTCACACCTGTAATCCCAGCACTTTGGGAGGCTGAGGTGGGTGGATTGCTTGAGGTCAGGTGTTGGAGACCAGCCTGGCCAACATAGTAAAACACTGTCTCTATGAAAATACAAAAATTAGCTGGGCGTGGTGGTAGGGGCCCGTAATTCCAGCTACTCAGGAGGCTGAGGCAGGAGAATTGCTTGAACCTGGGAGGCGGAGGTTGCAGTGGGCCGGGATCGTGCCACTGCACTCCAGCCTGAGGTAACAGAGTGAGTTTCTAAGAAAATAGTCACAAAGCTAGCCAAAGCCCCCCTTACATGTCGCCTGCCCCCGAGGCTGGCCCAGACACCTCCTCTATGCTCTCAAAGTGCCTTGTGCTCCCCCAATACAGCTCTCAGTGTGCCAGCTTGTAATTTCCTGATTTTATGTGGTGAGCTGCTGGAGGATGGGGCTCATGTCTACAACTTCCTTGAATTCCAGCTCCCAGTACCGGGGCTGGGCCCAAAAGAGAGCAGTGGGGAATGACTGTGGAATGCTTGAGTGAATGAAGAGTGTGGGTCAAGAATCAAGAAGGACACATTCTAGAGATATTTAGGATCTGGTGAATGACTGGGGAAAGCTGAGGAGGAAGGGGCACTCTGGTGGGGCTGACTGAGCAGTCGGTTCCTGCCCAGCCTGGGGGCAGTTTCTGTAGGACTTGCTGGGGCAAATATCTGAAGCAGCTGGCTATCAGGTCCAGCACTGGGCAGGTAGAATGCCCAGATATGTCAGGGGGCAGACTCACCCTGTGCGGGCAAAGTTGGCCCAGTATTTCATCATCCGGAGGCTAAGTGCCTTCTCCTTACCCGTGGAAAGATCTGGGGGCAGAATAGGATGTGGCATTTTGGACAGAGCAGGGGATGCTGACATCCCACCCTACTGCTGCTGTTGCTGCCTCCAGAGCAGAAGACTTTCATTTGGGAGAGCACCCCAGATTAGGAACTGGGGAGCTCCCCGTGGCCAGCTGATGGAGGGGTGGGTCTGCACAAAGAGGTAGGGGACTGGACACCCAGTGGGGGTGTCAGGTGAGGCCTTTGCACCTGTGGCGAAGGGGCCCCCAAAGAGGAAGTACATCTCATCCCCATGGTCCGCCCCATCAGTGCGGGGTTTGACGATCATTCCACGAGCGTAGCACTCAAATTCATACAGGTAGACAGGGAGGCTGGCATCTGTGAAGAGGAAAACTGAGGAGGGCTGCAGAAAAAGCCTCAGCTGAGGCTTCCCATCCACCCCATGTGTCCCACTCACCTGCATCAAGCAGGAAAAAGAGCTTTGGCTTCAGAATCAAGGGGGCTGACTTGAATCCTATCTGTACTACTCATTTGCTCTGTGACCTAGGGCAAGCCGCCCCACCTCTCTGAATTGTGTCAATAATTCCTTATCTGCAGACTGAGAATACTAAAAGCTAATTCACAGGATTGTGGCCAGAATCATGGAAGCCTTTCCTCTTCCCTGTTCTGAAACTTTCTTGGCCTCATATTGAAGGGTCTTCAGTGTCTGCATTCTCCAACCCCACCTTTAACCTGTCACCCACATGTTCCCCAAGCCCTAGTCAGCCTGGGTTTTCAAGGTGCCCCTAAGCGTTTCCTCTCAGCCAGAAGCCTTCTCTGACCACCCCAGGCTGCTCCTCTGGATCACCTGATCTCCTGCCCTTCTTCCTAAGGAAAAGTGCTTCCTCACATATAAATATATATGTATATATTTAAATGTATATACATATATAAATCTCTATCTATCTATCTATCTATCTATTTTTTTTGAGACGGAGTCTCGCTCTGTTGACCAGGCTGGAGTGCAGTGGCGTGATCTCAACTCACTGCAACCTCTGTCTCCCGGGTTTAAGTGATTCTCCTGCCTTGGCCTCCCAAGTAGCTGGGACATGCTATACTACAGGCATGTGCCACCAACATCTGGCTAATTTTTTTGTATTTTTAGTAGAGACAGGGTTTCATCATGTTGGTGAGGCTGGTTTAGAACTCCTGACCTCAAATGATCCACCCACCCTGGCCTCCAAAAGTTCTGGGATTACAGGTGTGAGCCACCATGGCTGGGCCCTTCCCCACTTATAGTTGATAGCATGCTGCCTCCTCTGTGTTATCTTAGAATCCTGTACTAGCCCAGAAGTACAGAGAGGGTAGGGGAGCCATTGATAAGCCCTGTTGGTAAACAGTACAGCTAGAGAGTGGATGGGGCCAGTGTGGCTACTCTTGGGGACCCTGCATACCTCGGTGGTAGTGAGCAGTCTTCAGCGTGGCATACACGAAAGCGGCATCTTCAACTATGTCCATCATACGGTTTCGTAGCATCTTCCAATCGCGCTCATTGGTGTTGTCCAGGTACTCCTCCACCACAAGTGGTATCTGCTCCTTGGTGATATTCTGGATGGGGAGGCCATACCTATTGAGGCCTTGGTGCCAGCTGGGCCAGAGGTGGGCCCACCAGTGACTTGGACCCAGGCTCAGCCCCCCAGGAGTTTTCGGCCTGGGAGGGTGAAAAAGGGGAGCTTCCTGGGAAAGTTTCCCTCTCTGCTGATTGTAACCCCTGATTTTGCTACATAACTGCCTCTATGACCCTGAGCATGTCTGGGGTCCTTACCTATAAGCAGCCATCTGATCCCACACCAAAGCAGCCATCTGATTCCACACCAAACCCCAGGCCCTCTGAGAAAGATCCTTACCCTGGCTGCAAGCCCCTTTGCAAAGAGAAGCTACTAGGTTAAAAAAGGGTGGGGTCAGCCCTGTCCAAACTGAGTACCCCTGTCAGCTGGGCCCCTCACCAACAGGGTGCGGGTACTCCACAGCATCCTGGCGATGGTTTCCTTTTTCATCACCTGCCGGTTTAGCGGGAACTTCATGATCTGTTCACGAGACAAGGACCCCAGTGTGGGTCAGGCCTGGGCATTAGGAGGGATTCTGGCCAGAGCCACAAAGGCCCCAAGGGTCTTGCCCATCTAATGATGAGTTCTCAGACAGAGCACACAGCACAGGAAGGGCCTGTGACTCTCTCTTGCCCCCCCCCCCCATCCTGCCCATCACTACCACCTGGGCCAGAGATGAAGCAGTACCGAGCAGCGGTCCATCCTGAATTGGGGCATCTACCCTGACCCAGGAGCAAGGGAGGGCTTCAGGATTTGCAGTTGCCTAGAGGCTTGGGTATGAGCACCATAACCCATGAATTTGGAGCCCTCAAACCTCCAACAGGCCACACTTCTCCCTTCTTCCCCTCCATCATTCCTGGCCAGTTCTCACTGTACAGGGACTACAGGAGGCTCCCAAACATATGGGCATCCCCAGAGGGGCTACTGGCATCTGACCTGGTGCCCAGCACCGTCCAAGAGGCATCCTTCCCTGCCTCCACTGTGGTACTCAGGTAAGGCAAGAGCCAATTGAACTCCTACTCACTTACATAAGGCACGAGCCAATTGAACTCCAGGTTGTTGACACCCAGAAGGTAGGGCACAGATGAAATCTGCCCCTGGGTCAGGAGCACCAAGGGGTCATCTGGCAACACCACACCATCCACCACAGGGCTCATGAGCCAGATAGTCTACAAGGCAAAGGGCATTTCCAGCCAGTCTTCTCGAGTATCCTCCCAGGGTCCCTGCGACCATGGGTACCCCTTCAGAGGCTGCTCTAGCCTAGGCTCTTTGGGAAAATGCTGGGGCTGGCATGGTGAGCCCCAGGAGGATGAGGGTGGGAGGGGAGCAGGATAGGCAGGACCAAGCTACGTGGACTTGGGATGCTTACTGCTGGTATCTGTATAGCTCACTTCGTCACCTCTTGAAAATCTTTGCTAAATGTCACTTCAGTGAGTCCCTTCAGTGAGTCCTGCCCTATCCCCCATCCATTCTATTTAAGAGCCCACACCTCCCAACATGTCCAACCCCCCTTTAGCCTCTCCATTCCTTGCTATTCACTTATCACCTTCTAAGGAGGTAGATAATGTATTTATTTATAGGGTTTATTGTCCTTCCCCACTGGAACATCAGCTCCACTAGGGAAGGGATGTTGGCCTGAACAATTTCCTAAGTATCCCAAGTGCCTGGCACATAGTAGGTGTTCAATAAATACTCAAATTGCAGAATGTGACCAGATTACCTCTTCAGGGTCTTTCTGGAAATTCAACTGGAAGAATCTCTGGAGGGGAGAGGAAGGGTTCAGAGTTAAAGGAAGTCTCCCCAGTGTGCTCTTGAGATAGGGTCCCTGGGGAAGTAGTTGGAGGTGGCTGGGTAACAGGATAGGAGGATGGCCTTCAGGCAGCCAGGTCAGGCAGCTGAAATGTTCTACCTACCATCTTCTCCGACACATGCATGACCTTGGCCCCTGATAGTGCCCTTAGGCAGTTTACCAGGATCTGTGTGCTGTTGTGGTTGCATCCAGCCAGGTGGGCAACCTTCTAGAGAGAGAAGAAGGGATACTCAGGGGTGCTTCCATCCTGCCCCTCCTTGCTGAGCCCTGGGGAAGGAGAGGCACCCACCTTGGCCACTTTCAGCGGGTTAGGAGTGATGAAAAGTTTGAATAATGCAGTGCCACTCTGGGTAATGGCCCGATGGAAGAGACCTGAGGCTAGGGGTGACATCATCTGCAAGGATGGGGAGGAAGCCACTCATGAGATGCCCAAGTAGGGACACCTGGGCTGTTCTGGGCATCTGGCCATGGGCAGGCAGCCTGAGTGAAGCCAGGAAGGGCATGCATCTGGGAGGGAGTCAAGTGACCTGGGGTGATGTCCTAGACCTAAAGCCAGTGGTCTCTCTGCCTCTGGTCTGTGCAGTGGGCCCCAGAGGGGATGTGAGATTGTGGGAGGAAATCTGCAGGTGTGGGAAAGGTGTCTCCCTCTGCTTTGGGGCTAGAAATCAGGGGTAGGTAGAAGGAACCTCATGGTTTCTCCAGCTTGTTACCTATGCTGACAGCTCTTGGCCTCTCTCCATTGTCCAAGTTTGGGGAACAAATACATCTAGGGCCTCCCATCCTGTCCCTTGGATACCTCATACTTCATGTTCCCCAAACCTTCTCCAGCCAATCCTTGTTTGGGTGGCATCCCTTACCCCACATCATCCCCCAGCCCCAGGGGCCTTCCCTATCTCTGCTTATTCCCACACCCCAGCTGCCCTAGTGCTGTTCATATGGCCTCCTGCATCATGCTGAGTCATCCTGTACTCTCCATCTTTCCTGCCCCTGCTTTAGAGCCAGCCCTCATGACCTCTCCTGGGATATACTCTATTCTATCCCTGCTCCTCCCATTAGCTCTCCAAGTCTCTGTTCCTGTTTCTTGCCAACCCAGTCGCATGCAGCAGGCTGAGACATCTCTCTAAATGGACATCTGAGTGTGTCACTTTGCTGCTTAAAATCTTTCCCTGCTTTGGAGAATTGCTTGAACCCAGGAGGCAGAGGTTGCAGTGAGCCGAAGCGCCATTGCAGTCCAGCCTGGGCAGCAAGTGTGAAACTCTGTCTCAGAAAAAACAAAAAAACAAAAAACAACAACAAAACTTCACTAAAAAGCAAGGAAAAAAAAGCTTTCCTTGCTTTTTAGTGAAGTTTGGATAAAGTTGCTTAATTATCTGGGCCTTCGTTTCTTTAGCTGTAGAATGGGGACAACAGCACTTTTCTTTTTGGACTGGTGAAGGAATTACATCGATGATGACACATAGGTGCTTAGGAGAATGCCTGGCACGCAGAAAGTGCACAAGTGTTGAGTATTATTATGACTGTGGCCAGCAAGGCCCTGTGTGATGTGTTCACTTCCCAGCCATGTGCCCCTCACAGGGCACCTTACCTTACATCCCAGGTCAGCAGTCACACAGGAGTCAGGGACAAAGCCCTGTGTCCAACTCATGTCCCTGGCTCCTAGGCCTGGTGTGAGGTCCTGGCCTTGCCCAGTGGGCAGATGGTGGGCTCTGTTCAGGGGATAGAGTTCTGGGGGAATTCGGAGAGGCAGGAGGTGCTGGCAAGCACCTAGATTTGCTGATTACCCCAAGCCTCAGCACTGCCCTTCCTGGGGCTTGGTTTTCTCATCAGTGATATAGCTGAACAGAGAAGACATCCTTGGCTGTGAGGGGAGGTCCCTTTGGCAGGGGTGAGGGCAGGTCTGTGACAGGCATGTTGATATACACGCAAATCTGCACTTGGCCTGTTCAGTGGAGGATACATTTGTGGGAACGGAGGAGCCTAAGTCTGTGCTGAATCCGTCTGGGCATTGCTCTCACCAGTCCTGAGATGCACATGGCTCCCGCTGACTGGCCGAACAGGGTCACATTTCCTGGGTCTCCCCCGAAGGCCGCGATGTTCTCCTGCACCCAGCGCAGAGCTGCCATCTGGTCCAGCAGCCCCCAGTTCCCGCGCGCATGGCTGTCGCCAGTGCTGGGCGTGCAGGGTTCACTGTCAGGGTCCCGGGCCTCGAGAGTCGAGGTGCGTAGGGCTGCCTTCCTGGGCTCCCCGCAACCCAGCCCAGCCTTGCCCCTCTAAAACCCAGTCCTGCGACCACACCCACTTCCTTGGAGTTAGCTCGCGCCCTGCAGACAGTACGGAGCGGCGGCCCCGCCCCAGCCCCGCCCAGGCCCCGTCCTCCCTTCCCACCCAGTCCTCGCCTTGCCGCCCCGAGCTGCGGTCCCGGAGGGTCCCTGCCCCGCCACCTCAGGAAACCGAAGACACCGAGCCTGTACTGCAGAAACACCAGCACCACTTTCTCGCGGGCTGCCAAGTAAGAGCCCTCGTACGAAGACGCGGCGCCCACGACGAAGGCGCCTCCCGGGAACCAGACCATCACCTGGGCAAGGAAGGCCGGGTCCTGAGCGGGGCGGGGCGGTGGGCGGCGGTGGGATAACTGGCGTGGGAGACCTGGCACTCACCGGCAGCGGGGCGTCCCCGGGCTCGCGCACTGGCGCGTACACATTCAGGTACAGACAGTCCTCGCTGAAGCGCAGCAACTTGTACCGTTTCCGTATGTTGACGTACATGGAGGCCATCTGGCCCCAGGACTCCTGCAGGCACCTGCGGGCACCAGGTGCGTGTGGGCCGCGCGCAGTGGCGGCGGCGGCCGCGGGGTGATGGGTTTCAACCCAGGGTCCGCAGTGAGGGGACAGAACCCAAAGCAAAATCCAGACAGCGTCTGTGCGTGTGCATGTGCGTGCGTGTCCGTGTCCGGGAGGCCTCCGCCAGCCCTAGGGCCCAGGACTGGGAGGCAGGTTGGCCTCTCAGGAACCATCCCCTCCCTGCCTGGCACCTCGCTCTGTGGGTATGCCTGGGGAGAGATTCCTGCTCCTGTGGGAGACCTTGTTGGTGCTGTCAAGGCAGGAACCTGCCTGCCCTGGACACCTCCCTGTCTTTCATGCCCCACTCTCCCCTCAGTCTCCCTTCTGCCTCCCAAACAGCTCTGGAATACGGTCCCTCCTCTCCATCCCCATCTCTGGGGGGATGTCAAGGCCATCACAGTCTCTGGTCTGGACAGTACCCAAGCCTCTTGACACTCCCACCACTCCTCGGCCACACTCTGGAGGTCTATGTAACTCCTCTTCAAATCTTCCCTAATATGTATAACTATGATATACCAATAAAAACAAACAAATCAACAAAAATCTTCCCTGGCTCTCCACTGTCCTCAGGATACAGTTCAGAATCCCAGAGGACCCAGGCCTTCCTTTCCAACCAGCCATCTCTGTCCCAGCCACCCTTTGCTGCAGATACATGTGGCCCTTTGCCTCCCACCTCCAAGTCCCTGGGCCTCAGTCCTCTGGAGCAAATGTCTTCTGCTCTGCCCAGCAAACTCCTATTCACATTTAAAGCCAAGCTCAAGTGGTATCCCCTCTGCTGGTCATTTCCTCTTCTGTGCCTCCAGACGTCCTGTCCACTTTTTCTTTTTTTTTTTTTTTTGAGACGGTGTCTTGCTCTGTTGCACAGGCTGGAGTGCAGTGGCACGATCTTGGCTCACTGCAACCTCTGCCTCCTAGGTTCAAGCGATTCTTCTGCTGCAATCTCCCAAGTTGCTGGGATTGTAGGCGTGCACCATCATGCCCAGCTGAGATGGGTTTCACTATGTTGGCCAGGCTGGTCTCGAACTCCTGGCCTCAAGTGATCTGCCCATCTCAGTTTTCCAAACTGCTGGAATTACAAATATGAGCCACAGTGCCCGGCCTCCTGTCCGCTGTTGATAGTGTCCTGGTTGGAATTATTTCAGTTGGCTGTTTTTCTCCCCAAGTGACCATGCACTTCCCAAGGGGAGGAATGGAGGTAAATTCATCTGAGTCCTGGCACCCAGCCCAGTGCCTTATACTGTGTGGACATTTGGGGTATTTTCAGAGTATGGGCTCTCCGGTCACCTCACCTTTTCTCCGTGCTGGCCCAACCCCTAGGCAGCTATTCTCATTAACAGCTGGGCCTAGACCATTTGACTGGATGCAGGACATCCTGTTTACCTTGCCTGTTCCTCTGGTCCCTTCTGCTCTTGTCCTAGCCCAGCGTGTTCCTAGAGCATCACCTGCTCCCTTTCACCAGTCCTTTCCTACAGCACTCCAACACTCCTCGAGCCAAACCTGTCCACCCCCACCCGCATTCCCTCAGGCCAAACTTTTTAACAGGCTATCTTCCCTTCCACTCCCAGTTTCTCCAAGGTACCAGCATCTGTATTTCTACAGATTGCTTTTGGTCTTCCTTGATTGACTTCTTGGTGACAGCTAACATGGTATTAGAATGCTGTCTAGTAAACCACATCTAGCATCTCACCAGGAAAGCCAGGGCTCTGAAGCCAGGAACTGGGATTATGAACAGCCGAGGCTTCTGTGCCAATCCCACCACCAGAGCCATCCTGCTGTGGTCACCAGTGACATCCGTCTTGCTAAATCTCTGGCATTGTCTTACTTCCCCTGGTAGCCCTCAACATGGTTAACTATGTTCCCCTTTATTCTGTCTCCCTCTCTCTTTTTTTAGAGACAGGGTCACCCAGGCTGCAGTGCAGTGACATGATCATAGTTCACTGCAGTCTTGACCTCTTGGGCTCAAGTGATCTTCAGCCTCCCAAGTAGCTAGGACTACAAGCATGCACCATCACACTGGATATTTTTTTTTTTTTTTGAGATGGAGTCTTGCTCTGTCGCCCAGGCTGGAGTGTAGTGGTGTGATCTTGGTTCACTGCAGCCTCTGCCTCTTGGGTTCAAGCAATTCTCCTGCCTTAGCCTCCTGAATAGCTGAGACTATAGGCACGCTCCACCACACCCAGCTAATTTTTGTATTTTTATTAGAGACAGGGTTTTACCATATTGACCAGGCTGGTCTCGAACTCCTGACCTTGTGATCCACCCACCTCAGCTTCCCAAAGTGTTGAGATTACAGGCGTGAGCCACCAGCCCTAGCCAATTTTTAAATTTTTTGTAGAGACAGGGTCTCACTATGTTGCCCAGGTTAGTCTGGAACTCCTACCCTTAAGGGATCCTCCCACTCAGCCTCCCAAGATGTTGGGATTACAAGCGAGAGCCACTGTGCCCGGCCAGACTCTCTTTCTGGAACAGCTTTCCTTCTCTGGGCTTCTGTAACACTCCACGCTCCTGATTTTCCTGCCACCTCATTGGTGGTTCCTCCTGCTCTCCAGGCCTAAGCATGAGAGTGCCCAGTCCTCGACCCTCAATTTCTTTTTCTGACCATCCTTTCTCCCAAGTTGTTCTTATCCAGGCCCAGGGCTTCACACCACTAATGTGCTGATGATCAGTTTGCCTCCTGTCTCTTCTCTCCAGCTACCTACCTGACCCTCCACATGGAACATCTGTTAGCACATCAAACTTAACAGGTCCCAAAATGAACTCTCTGTGTGTGTGTGTGTGTGTGTGTGTGTGTGTGTGTGTGTGTGTGGTGTGCTGAGATAGTGTCTCACTCTGTCACCAAGTCTAAGTGTTAGTGGCATGATCACAGCCACTCCCAGGCCCAAGTGATCCTCCTACATCAGCCTCCCACATAGCTAGGACCATGGCACCGCACCTGACTAATACTTTAAATTTCTTGTAGACACAGGGTCTCATTAGGTTGCTAGAGGCTGGTCTCGAACTCCTAAGCTCAAGTGATTTTCCTGCTTCGGCCTCCCAAAGTGCTGGGATTACAGGCATGGGCCACTGCTCCTAGCTCAAAATGAATTCCTGTTTTGCCCAAACTTGCTCTTGCTCCAGTCTTCCTCATTTTGATAACAGGTACCCCTATTGCCTTGTCTGTCCAGCCAAAAACGAGTAATTATCAGTGATTATTATCTTCTTCCCTAATGGCTCACATCCAATTCTCTAGAAAATCCTGTCAATTTTACTTTCAAAATAAATTTGGAGTCTGATACCTTCCTTCCACCTCCCCTGTAACTACCCAGGCAGAAACTACCATCTCTGAAATAGCCTCCTTTCCTGCTGCCCACCCCAACCACCACCCTCAGATTGCTATTCTGAGCAATCCACAAATTCTTACACCTGACACTCAGTTTCCAAACAGCCATTGTTCGAGAGTTCATGGCCAGTTTCTAACAACTGACACTTAGACTTCTACACAGTGGACACCCTGACCACTAAACCCCTAATTGCCAGGGTTCTAACAGTGGCCATCCTATGTTCTGTCACCTGGTCTTTGGAACTTTTTTTTTTTTGAGACGGAGTCTCACACTGTCACCCAGGCTGTAGGGCTGTGGCATGATCTTGGCTCACTGCAATCTCTACCTCCTGGGTTCAAGCAATTTTCCTGCCTCAGCCTCCTGGGTAGCTGGAACTACAGGCATGCACCACCACGCCTGGCTAATTTTTTAATATTTTTAGTAGAGATGGCGTTTCACCATGTTGGCCAGGATGGTCTCAATCTCTTGGCCTTGGCCTCCCAAAGTGCTGGAATTACAGGTGTGAGCCACTGCACCCAGCCATTTGTATTTTTTTTTTTTCTGGCTGCATTTTGGTAGACATTTGTATGTTTTTATATCAGCTGATACCCAGGTTCTCAGACACTTTTCTAAACCCTGTGATTTAACCAACTGATGCTGAGCATTGTTAATGCTTGCCCCAGAATGTTCTGGACAGTGTATTACTCAATGGTCTGAATAAACAGTAAATACACTTGTTCTGGGTAAACCACCAAGCCCAGTGCTTCAAGGGGCAGTCACTGTTCCAATCATGCTTTTGTGACTCAGGCCTTGAGCCTGGCTGAGGTGGTGTCAAGACCCTGGGACTTGTAAACTGAGGCTGAGCCTGTACATTCCCCACTGTGGAACATGCTCTGCAGGGACAGGCTGGTGGTGCCACGGGGCTTCTTGCTTTCAAGCCCCCAGAGAGAGGGAAGAGCCCCACACTGGGTCAGGGGGGTAGTGTGTCAGTGAACACTGCCCCTCAGACACATTTAAGAAAACGCAGCTCCCCAGCAGGTGCTGGGGTACGGTCAGTGACAGCCTCCCCCTTGCCTGGACTTCTCCTCTAAGAAACCAACAACAGCATTGTCAGTGACTTAAACACTCTGGATGAGCTCGCTCGTGATATGGGTCTGAAAACTGAGGCCCCAAATGGGCCCCAGGCCTGCCTGTGGTCACATGGTGAGTTCTTCTCAGTAAGCTGTTCAAAACCCCACCCAGATGCAGGCATGGGCCCACTGCCCCCCTCCCAGCAGACAGCCCTCTGGCTCTTACGCAGGCGGATAGGTGGTAGCATCTCTAGTTCCTTGCCAGGGCTCCAGGGGTTCTGGAGGTGCAAACCTGCGGATGCCTAGAGGAGGTCTGGAGAAGGGGACTCCTAAGAAGACTTGGATGGGTGTCTTCTCCACATGCATATGTTTTCCTTGCAAGGTTCCATATTTAGTGACCACTTGAGGCTTCTTGGTGTGCAAGGCACCTGGGAAGAGAAGGGCAAAGGGTCACCCCTGCTCAGCCACTCAGCCACAAATCGGACCCTGACTCAGCCACAGATGGGACCAAGGGACCTGGGAAGAGAAAGGTAAAGGGTCACCCCTGCTCAGTCACTCAGCCACAAATGGGACCCTGCCCCATCTATCATGGGCAGCAGCGGCTGCTTTTCATAACAATTGATCATAGCTATTGTGTATCTGTCCACTTTTTCTTGTGCTTCTCTCAGAATTTTTTCTCTCATTTAACATTTCATTTATTTATTTTTATTTTCTTTAGAAGGGGTCTCGCTCTATCACCTAGGCTGGAGTACAGTAGCATAATCTTAGCTCACTGCAACCTCTGCCTTCCGGGTTCAAATGATTCTCCTGCCTCAGCCTGCTGAGTAGCTGGGATTATAGGCACACACCACCACACCTGGCTAATTTTTGTATTTTTAGTAGAAATGGGGTTTCACTATGTTGGCCAGGCTGGTCTCGAACTCCAGACCTCAAGTGATTCGCCCACTTTGGCCTCCTAAAGTGCTGGGATTACAGGTGTGAGCCACTGCACCTGGCCTTATTTAGCATTTCAAATCCCTGTTGGTAAATACATAAAAGTTCTTGTCGACCTGGCACAGTGGCTCACATCTGTAATCCCAGCACTTTGAGAGGCCAAGGTGGCGGATCATGTGGTCAGGAGTTCAATACCAGCCTGACCAACATGGTGAAACCCCATCTCTACTAAAAATACAAAAATTAGCTGGGTGTGGTGGCATGTGCCTGTAATCCCAGCTACTCGGGAGGATGAGGCAGGAGAATCACTTGGACCTGGAAGGTAGAGGTTGCAGTTAGCCGAGATCATGCCATTGCACTCCAGCCTGGGTGACAGAGTGAGACTCTGTCTAAAAAATAAGTCAAATAAAATAAATAATAAAAGTTTATGCCTATTATATGAGCTATTTCTCTGTGTCATTTAATGTCAACAAATGCATTATGTATTTTGATTTCTGTTTGTCTGATATTAATATAGCTACACCTCTGTTTTTGTTGCTAGCATTAGCCAAGCATTTTTCTGGGAAGAAATCACACACACATATATGCATTCTTACTCATATGCATACTCGCATCTAATACATTTACATGCAAATTTATATATATAGGTACATGTGAGCACAGCTTATCTACAAAGAAATATACAGAAAAAGGCCAGGTGCAGTGGCTCACACCTGTAATCCCAGCACTTTGGAAACCCAAGACAGGCAGATCACTTGAGGTCAGGAGTTCGAGACCAACCTGGCCAACATGGTGAAACCCTGTATCTACTAAAAATACAAAAATTAGCCAGACGTGGTGGCGGGTGCCTGTAATGCCAGCTACTCGGGAGCCTGAGGCAGGAGAATTGCTTGAATCCAGGAGGTGGAGGTTGCAGTGAGCTGAGATCCCGCCACTGCACTACAGCCTGGGTGACAAAGTGAGACTCTGTATCAAACAAACAAACAAACAAAAACCCCAAGAAACATGCAGAAACAGAAGAGCAAAATGCATGTCCATATACATGCGTACATATGCATACATGTGCAGTTGTACATAGGTGACAACAAATCTATCCGTGGGATAATTATTACACACACACACAAGCACAAATACACAGTGCAAGCAAACACCATAGCCAGCTCTTGGGACAGATATGAAATAGGTCAGGTTGAATCCCACTTTCCATGGATACCTTTTTCTTACTCTTCCAGGCTGTCATCCTGCCCGATTCTATTGCCAAGAGTTATTATGGCCTCACATCCACTGTCCCTTCCTGAAGTGCCCTTGTCCATTTCTCCCCCTCCTCCTTTTATCAAAACTGAATTGGGCTGGGTGCAGTGGCTCACGCCTGTAGTCCCAGCACTTTGGGAGGTCAGGAGTTCAAGACCAGCCTGGCCAACATGGCAAAACCCCATCTCTACTAAAAATACAAAAAAAAAATTTTAGCCAGGCACAGTGGCACATGCCTGTAATCCCAGCTACTCGGGAGGCTGAGGCAGGAGAATCACTTGAACTCGGGAGGTGGAGGTTGCAGTGAGTGGAGATTGAGCCACTGCATTCCAGCCTGGGTGACAGAGGGAGACTCAATCTCAAAAAAAAAAAAAAAAAAATTGTTCTGTGTTCCAATCCTTTTTTTGAGATAGTAGCTCATTCTGTAAAGTGACAGAAAGCAGATCTGATCCAAGTAATTAGTGAAACTGGCTGTGCATCAGAATCATCTGGAGGATCATTGAAAAAATACATATTCCTTGGCCACACCCCACACTCTCTGAATGAGAATCTCAGGTTGCAAAACTCTCCAGATTTTGATGCAAAGTGTTTTTGGAATGGAATTGATGCAATAGAGCACACCTTCACACTCCCAGTTGCAGGTGGCCAAAAATGCCTCTCTGCCACGCCCCAGGTCTCTATAGGTCTTACTTAAGCAATATCTGGACACAAAGAAGTGACTGCAATGGTGGCCCTCTAAGCATGGAGGCAGGCCAACAGGGGCAAGGGCCAGATCAAATCTCCCATTTGTGCAGCCTCTGCAGTTTACAAAGCTCTTTCACATGGGCTTCTCCACTGGCCCTGGGAGGAGCTGGAGGAGGCCCAAAGACCCAGAGGGGACCCATGACCAGCCTGCAGTCTCATAGGATAGAGTGAGGAGGCCAAAGTCTAACCCATTACCTGGATTTGCCCTGAATCCAGGGTCCACTCATGGTAGAATAACCAACAGCTATCATTTACTGGGCCTTCATTATAGCCTGGCACTGTGCCAAACACTTTAAATTATCTGACCTCATTTTTTTTTTCTTTTTATTGTTTGTAGAGACAGGGTCTCACTTTGTTACCCAGGTTGGTCTCGAACTCTTGGCCTCAAGTGATGCTCCCACTTTGGCCTCCCAAAGTGCTGGGATTATAGGCATGCAGGAGCCACCGTGTCCAGTCTCACCTCATTTTTCTGAGAAACTTATAGGGCAAATGTTATGATTACAGAACTATACAAATATAGAAGCTTAACCTCAAAGGGGTTATAAAAATTGCCCAAAGTCACACAGAAAAGTATCTTACATCACAGCTGTGCCTTAAACCATGTTTTTCTGTCTGCTCCCCAGCCTCCAGGGGGGTACCTAGCCACGTGGTAGAGTGTTCTAGACCCCTGGGCAGAAGCTGCCATGAAGTGGTTCCCATCCCAGCTCTGCTACCCAGAGGCAACAAAGAAGCACCTATGAAAACAATATTCCACCTCACTAGTAGTCATAAAGTGCTAACTAAAACCAAGAGTTACAACTTACACCTAATACATTTAAAAGTGATGACATCTAATTCTGGTAAAAATACAGTGAAAAGGACATTCACATAAACTGTTGGTGGAGGATAAACTGATACAATGCCTTGGGAAAATAATTGGCAAAATGTATAAAGAGCTGTGAAAAGTTCACATGTCAGCCGGGTGTGGTGGCTCACACCTGTAATCCCAACACTTTGGGAGACCGAGGCGGGTGGATCACCTGAGGTCAGGAGTTGAGACCAGCCTGGGCAACATGGTGAAACCTGTCTCTACTAAAAAAATACAAAAATTAGCCAGGTTTGGTGTTGTGCGCCTGCAGTCCCAGCTACACGGGAGGCTGAGTCAGGGAGAATCACTTGAACCCGGGAGGCTGAGGTTGCAGTGAGCCGAGATTGCGCCATTGCACTCCAGCCTGGGTGACAGAGGGAGATTACGACAAAAAAAAAAAAAAAAAAAAAAAAAAAGAAACTAAAAAAGTAAAAGAAAGGAAAAGATGAAAAGAAAAATGCACCAAAATGTTTAAAGCAGATTCAGCAAAGTTTCCTTCACATTAAAAAAAAATGGATCTATATAGGCAAAATTTATTTTTGATAGAGGTCAGCTGGCTATTGGTAATTTTGAGTATTAACTGAGGAGGAGTATATGGGATGCCGGAGATGTTTTTTTTCCCCTTCTTCTTTTATTTATTTATTTTTTTGAGATGGGGTTTTGCTCTTGTTGCCCCGGGCTAGAGTGCAATAGGACAATCTCGGCTCACTGCAACCTCCACCTCCCAGGTTCAAGCGGTTCTCCTGCCTCAGCCTCCTGAGCAGCTGGGATTACAGAGATGCACCACTATGCCCCGCTAACTTTGGATTTTTAGTAGCGATGGGGTTCCTTCATGTTGGTTAACCTGGTCTCAAACTCCGGACACCTCAGGTGATCCACCTGCTTTGGCCTCCCAAAGTCCTAAGATTATAGGTGTGAGCCATTGCACCCAGCCAGATATTTTTTTTAAGTTGATTTTTTTTTTTTTTGAGACACAGTCTTGCTCTGTCACCAGGCTGAAGTACAGTGGCATGATCTCAGCTCACTGTGATCATGTGGCATAACCTCTGCCTCCTGGGTTCAACTGATTCCCCTGCCTCAGCCTCCCAAGTAGCTGGGACTACAGGTGCTCAATTCCACGACTGGCTAGTTTTTTTCTATTTTAGTAAAGACAGGGTTTCCCCATATTGGCCAAGATGGTCTTGATCTCCCGACCTCAGGTGATCCACCCACCTCGGCCTCCCAAAGTGCTGGGATTACAGGTGTGAGCCACCGCACCCAGCCAAAAAAAGTTTTTTTTAAAATAGAGGCAGAGTCTCACTATTTGCCCAGGCTGGATCTCACTATTTGCCCAGGCTGGATCTCACTATTTGCCCAGGCTGGTCTTGAACTCCTGGGCTCAGGTGATCCTCCCACCTCAGCCTCTCAAAGTGCTGGAATTACAGGCATGAGCTACCATGCCTCACCCACTGGAAATGTTCTAGATCCTGATCTGGATAATGGTTACCTTATATATATATAATGTAATTAGTATGATAGATATAATTATACAGTGAAGAGGTGTGCATCTTGATGTATACATCTTATACCTCAGCAAACTTTTGTTAGTGTATTGTATTCACAGTAAAAAGTGTAGTACTCATTTTAAAAAGAAAGCTATTGGGGAGAAATCTGAAGGTGGTAAAGAGGTTCATATAGCAGAGACGGGAGCAGAGGCAGCCCTCCTGCTTGGAAGAAGGAAAGAAGGATGGAAGAAAGGAAGGAGGTGGGAAGGAAGGAAAGATGTGGCCATGTTCTCGGACCCCTTCACTGGTCCTGGGAGGCAGGAAATGCAGAGAAGCCCTGAGGCTCAGAGAGGCTAAAGGACTTGTCCAGACTCCCAGCTGGCAGATGGTTTAGTGTCTTGAAACCCTGCCCTCCATCTGCCCAGGCATTGTCCAAGTGCTCCTGCCCTGCTGTCCTCAGGAGAGGTTGAGCTGGGGGCTGTCCCTATGTCCCTTGTGCCCGTTTTGCCTGATGCCCTCTGGAAGGGGTGGGGGTCTTACCCAGGGCCGTCTGTGTCATTAGGCAGAGGGTGAGGCTTGAACACAGAATCCACCTCATGCTCCAGAGAGCTCCTGCTGTGGGCAGGAGTGATGGCAACCTGTGGATGGAGTGGTAGCCGTGTCTACCGTGTGTGAGCACACTTTTATCTGCTCTTAATCTCTGCCAGCAAGTACTGGGGAGGGAGGAATTGTAACCAGCTTCTGATCAGCCCACAGCCTTGTCTCTGCCTTGGGCAACAGGTCATGCTTGTTGCTCTTGGCTCTTCAGACAAACTGATCAGCCTGCAATCTAACCATTTACTCATCTGTGCGATGGCTTAGAGCTGAACATGTGTGAGTCAAGCTCTAAGCACATAGTGGGTGCCAAGATTGAAGTAGAACACCTGGTTACTTGGCCCTTCAGCCAAGGCTTCCTGTCTGTGGATTTCAGGACCTCAGGCCTTCCTGCTTCCCGGTGTCTTGTCTAGCCTCTTCCCTGCCCTTTCTCACACATCCCGACCCTTGGCTGTCTTCTCAGGTTCATAATCCAGTTGGGGGAGCTGGACCTGAAAGCAACCATAATGTGGGAGCCCACAGGGCACCTGATGAATGAGCCCAGGGCCAGGAGGTGGGAAGGAAGGCTCCCTGGGAAGGATCTAATCTTCTAAGTAAAGGATGAGGAGGAGTGGGCCAGACAAAAAAAAAATCTTGTTTGAAGTTTGGAGCCACAGGAGGTGAAAGCAAAGAGAGGTCAGTTCCATCTTCAATCAAAGGTAAGATGGGGGCCCAGCATGGTGGCTCATGTCTGTAATCCCTTCGCTTTGGGAAGCCGAGGCAGGCAGATCACCTGAGGCCAGGAGTTCAACACCAGCGTAGCCAACGTGGTGAACCCCCCCGACCCGTCTCTACTAAAAAAAAAAATTACAAAAATTAGCTGGGCATGGTGGTGCACCTGTAATCCCAGCTACTCGGAAGGCTGAGGCAGGAGAATCGCTTGAACCTGGGAGGTGGAGGTTGCAGTGAGCTGAGATCATGCCACTGAACTCTAGCCTGGGTGACAAAGTGAGACTCCATCTCAAAAAAAATTAAAAGTAAGATGGTTCCTCTCTCTTTGTCCCCCTGAAGTCTGGGGTCTTGGCCCATCTTTGTGGGTCTGATGGGCTTCTTTGCTGGGGAGGGAAAAGGCAGAGGAACAGGGACTTCTCTCTTGGCCCACAGCCTCTTGCTCTACAGGCCTGACAGATGGTTAAAGCCTCCACCTTCTTTCATGATCAATTTTCTGAGTTCTTCGGAGCTGCTCTGTATTTGGGACTCCTCTCCCACAGTTCCTATACTTGTGATCCTTCCTCAGTCCCAAGGAATGTGGCATTCACTGCCCAATCGTTGCTGCTTAGGCTCTATGCCCCTCTAAGGAAGGCCCAAGGTGACATCCCCAACCTGTGCCTCTGCCATTCATCCTGCAGGGTCTACATGGGCAAACCTCCAATATCCCTTGCCCTGCCCCAGCAGAGATGTGGCCTGTCCCATTGCAGCCCCTTCTGCCCCACTCATGATGGCAGGGTGGGGTCAGGCTCTGGCTGGTTGAGCTTCCCATGGTGGAAAGCACCACTCATCCTCCCCATGGTCTCATGTTCACAGGTTTGAGGGGAAAGAAGTGGAGTCAGAGCTCACAGCGAGGCAATAGCTCTCTACAAAGAAAATCTCTCCCCTAACTCTTCCATACCATAACACGTTAACTCGCAGTGGCTCATGCCTGTAATCCCAGCACTTCAGGAGGCCAAGGCAGGAGGGCTGCTTGAGGCCAGGAGTTACAGACCAGCCTGGAGAACATAGTGAGACACTATCTTTACAAAAAATTAAAAAATCAGCCAGATGTGATAGTACATGCCTGTAGACCCAGCTACTTGGGAGGCTGAGGCAGGAGGATCAATTGAGCCCAGGAGGTCAAGACAGAGTAAGACCTTGTCTCTAACCAAAAAACTCAGAAACAAAAAAAAAAAGACCCACTTTAATGTTTGTTTATTTATTTGAGACAGAGTCTTGCTCTGTCACTCAGGCTGGAGTGCAGTGGTGCCATCTCGGCTCACTGCAACCTCCGCCTCCCAGTTTCAAGCGATTCTCTTGCCTCAGCCTCCCAAGTAACTGGGACTATAGGCTCATGGCACCACGCCCGGCTAATTTTTTGTATTTTTAGTAGAGATGGGTTTCACCATGTTAGTCAGGATGGTCTCAATCTCCTGACTTCGTGATCTGCCTACCTCAGCCTCCCAAAGTGCTGGGATACAAGAGTGAGCCACTGCGCCCAGCCTATTTATTTATTTTTGAGGTGGAGTCTCACTCTGTTGTCCAGGCTGGACATGGCAACCTTTACCTCCTAGGTTCAAGCAATTCTCCTGCTTCAGCCTCCAGAGTAGCTGGGACTACAGGCCGGTGCCACTATGCCAGGCTAATTTTTGTATTTTCAGTAAAGACAGAGTTTCACCATGTTGGCAAGGCTGGTCTCAAACTTGTGCACTCACGTAATCTGTCTACCTTGGCCTGCCAAAATGCTGGTATTACAGGCGTGAGCCACCAAGCCCAATCATAGGTCAACTTGGAAAAGGTAAAATTTGAAATTGTATAATGAATATGACCAGATTAGTCATGGAACATACACATCAAAATACTCCAAAGTGGGAGACTGAGGCAGGAGGATCACTTGAGCCCAGGAGTTGGAGGCTTCAGTGAGCTATGATGGTGCTAGCAATCCAGCCTGGGCAACAGATCAAGACCCAGTCTACAAAACAATCAAAACACACTCCAAAGATGTCTAAAGTAACAGCAGACAGGTAGGATTGATACCAAAATGGTATCTGCGAGGTTGGCCTAGGGTCATCAGCTACTTTGATTTTCTTTTCCTTTTTTAAATTTTATGTATTTTCCACTTTTAAAAATATATATATATTTTTTTTTAGATGAGATCTCACTCTGTCACTCAGGCTGGAGTACAATGGCATGACCTTGGCTCACTGCAACCTCTGCCTCCTGGGCTCAGGTGATTCTCCCACTTCAGCCTCCTGAGCAGTTGGGATTACAGGTGCATGCCACCACACCCAGCTAATTTTTGTATTTTTGTAGAGACAGGGTTTCACCATGTTGGCCAGGCTCATCTCAAACTCATGATCTGTCCTGCCAAAGTGCTGGGATTACAGGCATGAGCCATCACGCCTGGCCACATATTTCCCATATTTATTTATGTGTTTATTTTTTGAGACAGAATTTTGCTCTTGTGGCCTAGGCTGGAATGTGATAGCGTGATCTCAGCTCACTGCCAACTCTGCCTCCTGGGTTCAAGCGATTCTCCTGCCTCAGCCTCCTGAGTAGCTGAAATTATAAGCACTCACCACCACAGCTAGCTAATTTTTGTATTTTTAGTAGCATGCTCACCATGTTGGCCAGGATGGTCTCGAACTTCTGACTTCAGGTGATCCATCCATCTCAGCTTCCCAAAGTGGTATTTTCCATATTTAAAAAAATGAACATTAGTTGAGGGTTCAGTCAGTATGAGGTTTAAAGGGGCAGGGATGGGAGGACAGGGCGGGAAGGACCAAGAAAGCAGGAACTACTAGCAGCTCCATCTGGCCTGGACCACATCTCTCTCTGTTGACTGCCTGCCTATCCTTACAGTCTCATTCTGCCAGGTTCTCCTGTGGGCTGTGGTCACATTAATAGGAGTATGAATATTAAGCTGTGGGAGGTGAGGAAGCTGCTTGTTTTGCTGCCCAGGATCTGACAAAGTTCAGGTGGCTCAGGACAAAGTTCAGATGGCACAGGACAAGCCATTGGGTAGAGGACAGGGGAGGGGGGCAGTGGGGAAGATACACAAGAATGTGAGTCTATCTGCTAGCCCTGGGGGCCAGCCAGACATAGACTCCCCTGCCCACCTATGCAGCTCCTTGGCCACATCTGTGTGGGCCTCAAGGACCAGTCTACCAACCCCTGACTCTACTCCTGCCACCTCTCCCTGGGGAAGCAACAACCTTTCACCCAGCCCATATGAGAAGCAGTTGTGCCAGGCCAGGTACCTTGATGAGGTGCCCAGGACACATGTGTGCCGCCTCCGATGCTCACATGGGGCACAGGGGATGTTGAGTGGGCAGTCACGTCAGCCAGGTAGTCCTGGTACAAGCATCATCTTTTCTGAGAATCAGCCTTTTCTCAGAAAGCCTGGGTGTTATTTGTCTGAATCTCTTAGGAGAATTTTCTTGAGAACATTCCTATGTATCTTGGTTGAACAAAGGGAAGGAAGTCATGCTGTGGAATAAGCATTGATCTCTGAGTCTGACAGATGTAGGCCCCAGTAGGCTGGGTGCAGTGCCTGTAATGTCAGCACTTTGGGAGGCCGAGGCAGCGGATCACCTGAGGTCAGGAGCTCAAGATCAGCCCGGCCAACATGGTGAAACCTTATCTCTACTCAAAATACGAAAATTAGCTGTGTGTGGTGGCACACACCTGTAATCCCAGCAACTTGGGAGGCTGAAACGGGAGAATTGTTTGAACCTGGGAAGTAGAGGATGCAGGTTGAGATCGCACCACTGCACTCCAGCCTGGACAGAACCAGACTCTGTCTCAAAAAAACAAAATAAAACCAAAAAACTCACGAAGATGTAGGCCCCAAGCTCACTTAGTCTCTTACCATCCATGTGTAAGGACCTTTCTGAGGTTCAATTGTCCTATCTGTAAAACAGAGCTAACAATGACTAATTATGAGGGTTGTTCTGAGGATTAAATAGATTGCTGTGAAGTAGAGTGGGTGGGACTGCACGGGGCTCACCACAGCTGGTAGAGATTGTGACGTCTGTGAAATTCCCCTCATCTGTGGCTCTTTTATTGCTTAAAGAGGAAAGTTGTAATTATAAAACACAGAATAAGTGTTTTTTCTCCTTTTTTATAAACCTTCACTTAAAACAGCAATTTATAAAAGATTTAAAGCAAAAATTTAAAAAGCAATTTATAAAAGAATGTGCATAAAGTGTATCATTGGGCCTATAAGATTAGAAATTCAATATATTTGCCAATGACAATGCAAAGGAGGAGGGTGGAAGTAAGGCTGTATTGGGCTAAGGAAATGAAAACAGTA